TATATGGGTTATAATCTTTTATTGTCTTTTTTAGGAAAGGGGGAGTCCTATGTTGTCAAAGATTCTGTAGATAATGTGTGATTTTGATTCTGCCATAGCCCTCGGGTTCTGATAGCATCGTAACTGATTTGGGAACAATTTTCACATTCATTACCCATGCCTCCAGCGTGTGCTTCTTGCTGGTGACTTTATATTCTACCCATGACCCTGGAAATATGACCGGCTTTCTTTATACTCTCTTGGTCAGTGTTTTCTAGTCTTTTTCTCACACATGGGAAACAAGTTGAGATTCTGGGTTTCATTCCGGGGGCAGATTCCCAGCACCTCCAATAGGCATGGGTGCAGGTGCTCCCGCATCCCACACCTGCCCGAGTGTCCCCCCTCCAGCCCATCCCTGCACCCCCTTCTGGGGCTTATGTCTCAGGGGCTATTGTGGTCTTGAGTCTTGCCTATCCTCTGGTTTAAAAGTCTTTCTTTATTCTGGGGAACTGGATGATTGCCTTTCCTTCACCCAAGCTCAGGTTTGCACCAAAAGCAACTGTGACACACAGCTGTTTCATGACCTCACAGTGGGAGCAGCAGAACCTTCTGAGGCCCTCCATCCTGGCCTTTTAAGACCAACGGTTTTCCTTCTTGTATCCTCCACAATATTTTCTGATTTGTACTAAAACACTAACCATCCTAAGGTGCCAGGAGACAGATCGGCTGGAATGGAATTGTTTTCTCTCAAAAGCTAGTTGAATTCTTCAGTTCCTAAGCAACGCTAATTTTTTCTAGAGTGCCTGGCACATGTTGAGAACTTAATAAATGCTGGTTATCTACCACAAACCTCCAAGAATAGCAAACAGAAAAGACCATTTTTATCCAAAGCATACAATTAACGAGGTCTGATCTCCAAACGGGAGGGGCAGCAGCTGTGGGTGAGGTACGAAGGCCCCCCACTTCCATGAGAGTGGAGGTGGGGCTGAAAGGCTTCTTCCCAAACCCGTGATGCCCAGGCGTTAAAAAGCAGCCTTCCTATTCTTCCCCAATCACCGAGAGACCTTAAAATCTCAGGATGACACCTACTCAGTTAAGGAGCAAAACCAGTATGGAAGTTTTAGATTCTTTAGAGTCATTTGTGAGGAAACTCTTGAACAGTTGCATTAAAAAAAAAACAAACAAGAACACAATGCTAGTAAATACAGGAAACATTTGCCACTTTTTTCTTACTCGTGAGTGAGGAAGAGAAGAGGTAGTTGGAGTTCCTTCTATCTGTAGTGATATATAAGAGTCTGCCCCAAATTCTAAAAGGAGTAGGCAGTTTGTGTCCTGAAATGATCAAAGTAAAAACCAAAACCAAACCAAAACAAAACAGGTTTAAAATGAAAGTCTCTTATCTTAACTTTTTTGTGATTTTTTTTTTTGAACCTGAGTTTTGTTTTACAACCAGAATTTCTACAAATAACATTTTCCAAATACCCCAATATATGTTGATGCCTCCATAAACAGTCTACTTCTTTTGAAGTTATAATCTTCAGGCATCTATTATGAAAAATCCTTCATGCTAAAATCCATCCTAACATTTTTGTAGCATTATTCCTTGCTACCAAATTTATATTATAATAGCTTATTTTATTCCTTAGTTTTAATTGGGTTAAATAACACAGATGTAAGATACTGTTATTACATTGTAAGGGATCTCAAATAAGTTTTCCTAAACCCTTCCAGGCACCATTATCTGTCTTACTACGTTAGAAAATCGAGTTGCTAGGAGGGCAACTCGAGCCATAAAAATGTACACAAATAGGCACATCCCTGAATTGACGTCTGTGGTCCTTCCATAATATTCCCTGTGGTCTAGCTGGAAAGCAAGCGCTGTGTCATGCATCTGTCAGTAAAGTCTGAAAAGGATCATATACTCTTAAATTATTTTCCTATATTAAATGGATGGGTTATATCATGTGAAACCTTCAGAGATGCTTGCAGTGTCAAGATAAACTAGCAAAGTGATCTTTTTGCTAGATAATATCACTCCAACATCGGAAAGACAACAAGAACCACAAAGAACATGACACACATTGAGACAGTCCTCCACGAAGTCCTGTAGCAAACCATTATAACAAGATTGCTCTTAGTAGATTTTAAACTTTTTTTAACTGGTCTCTAGTTTGGCAGAACACTCTGGTGAGCGTATCCCTGCAAATGGCAGGTGAGTCTGGTCGAGTGACGAGCTCCTCCATCTTGCAGCCGCCCCCCCCCATTTTAGAGTTACCTGTCTGTACATTCTTGGTAGGAAGATACCAATAAATTAACAACGAATTCCATTAAACATTTTCCTCTCAAAATCATAGTCCAAACTTCAGACCATGCAAGGTAGAAAGCATAAGCAAATCGACATACTGAAGCTGCGATCTACATGTTATGTACAATTACAAATTTATGTTCTCTGCAAAACAGGCCACACCTTTGCAGGGATCCTCACTCGTGGCATCCTGAGGTCTCCAGCACCCCATAAACTTTGCTGCTAGTCTCGCTGCCTGACAGATATTATCATCTGAGACAATGCTAATTATGCCGTCTGTATCCAAAGACCTAGCTCCCTCCAAGAGAACCAACCATTAAAATGCAAATAGGTGTTTCCCACTTCACTGGTTTAGCAGAGAAAGACTGTTAACAGCTTTCTGACAAGAAAGAGAGAAGCGTAATGAGTTGAGGCCTTAACCTTGTGGATGGAATGAGCACAACGCACGGGATCTGAGTCTGCGTTGTGCGCCAGCCCCCGGCTCTGATCCTTTCTGTTCAGCGGCCTTTATGAGTTAACTGATAGAAGCTGCTGGAGAAATCACCAAACAAAAAAGCTGATTTCAGATTCCACTCACTGCACCCAGGCAGCTCTCACTTAGACTAATTACTTAAATGATTTAAAAATGTATGAATATGCATGGTAGTGCTTTTCAAAAAAATAAAGCCCAGCTGAGACCATGCCATCAAATCTTTCCTCCCTTTCTCTGATTTGGAGCAAGTGTACTTGCATATCTGAAAGGCTGGGCTGGCTGCACACCAGGGTGGAAAAGGGAGAGCCCCACAAACACAGCCACAGTCTCCCCGACCCTCACGGTCTCCTCCGGGTGGGCGGCTGGGACCGTTCTCTGACTGAGTACAGCAGGTCTTGGTCTGCCCCCAGAACAAGGCGGGGCACATCTCTTCTCTCCTCTCCCGACATTCCTACACCTTTGGTGTGGGGTTGACGCTCTCTGGGATGTGGACGCTGAGCACCAGCAGGCTGCTGGGGGACGTGCTGGGCACTGTGCAGGACGGGCAGACGCAGGTCTGACGTCTGACAGGGTGGGGCCGGGGGCTCTGGACCTGGAGCGCTCCCGGGGGGCCGGGGGAAAGGATGCAGCTCTGCCCCTGCAGGGAGTCAGCCGTGGGGGCCCCGCCACCGGGGATATCCACAGGAACACACAAACACCTGTCCCTGGGCGAGGACTCCCCAGGGAACACCACCGTGATTCAACCCACACCCTCACCCAACCCCACGCGCTGGACTGACTTGTCGGAACCCAATCTGCTCTTTTAGGACCACGAGAAGCAGGCAAGAGCTAAGACCCAGACTCCACACAACACACACAGACTTCGCAGACAACAGACGCTTGTGAGTAGGAACAGGTAGGCGGGAAAGCAGGATGCAGTTTGGATCAGCCACGAGGCAGGAGTGGCTGAGACTTCAGGATTGCTCCAGGACCCGGAGCACGGTGAAGACTCTCAGCAAAAACTGCGTGTGTGTGGGGGGGAGGGGGGCAGCAAACACGACTGCACAGGATGGCAGCGCGCGACGCACACATTCCTGGCGTGGGACCGACACGGAAGTTACCACGACAAGAAAGAATAAAATGCCAAATGCCCGGAGGACACACACAAGCTGGAGAACGCTGCAGGCACCCACCACACCCTCCCGGCCAGGAGGGTGCTGCTCAGAGCAGAAACCTGCTCCCCGTGGCCTCCCCGTGGCCTTCCGGAGGCCTCCACTCCAAAACCCTGGCAACACCAGGCTCCCGGGCTTCATGCAACCGTGACGATTTGAGTTAATGCACTTTGCCCGGCTGTATCTACACAAGATCTATACCTTACCCAGCACAGCAAGAAGTTTGAAGACTTAGTCATATCTCAACCACAAAATGGAAGCCACAGAGTGTTTGATGGAATTTCTAAGCTAACCCGATAGTCACCTTTCTCTTTCGTCTCATGGGTACAAATCTTTGCAGTGAATATGATGACGTTTGCGTGGCATGATGCACATACTAGTCATTCATATTCAGGCGTTTTGGGATCCTGGACTCCAGAGGCCATCACTCCACACTGTGGTGAGGCCAAAACCAGCTGCTCTGACCCTGAAAATCAAAACTCTGGTGAATTCCGAGCCCCCGTTAACGGAGGTCACGTGCCGATCACATTCCTTTTATTCTTTTCTGTTGTGACTCTGAGAAATAGGACAGATTTTGGCTTTAACTATTTTGGAACATAGTTAAGTCACACATTCAGGCGCTCTACTTCTAAAAGTATCTTAGACGCATGAAATTTGAATTATCGTGCATTGTTTAATGTCACTGATTACCAGCACAGTTCCTGCTGCGTCTCTCAGATTTACTCATTAATAATACGGAATGGTTTTCCGAGGTCTCATTTCATATGAGGCTCATCAGCACCTTTCACTAATATATTTAAAGCCAAGAAATATGTATTTCTAATGTCGGCATTTATTACCTGGAGAAACCTGATTAAAATTTCTAAATCCAAAACAAAAAGGAAAGTGTTGTAATTTGGTTGTGATTCAATTTGCCTTTAGAGATTACCTCCTCTTGCCTAAAGCTTATCCTGCACACCACGCTGATGGTTTTACCCAGTTTCCATCAAACACCGTGGAGAGCGCACGCTCGGACACGCATACCGCCGTCGGTCACCGCGGTGCCCCCGCCATGCCCACCGGAGGCAGGGGTGATAAGGTGAAGCGCACTCACCTTCCGGCTCCCCGCAGAGGGTGCACTGGGACTCTGCAAACAGAAGAGAGAGAGGCCGTTACTACGGGGTCTCGGGCTGCAGGCGCACACTTCACGCCCGCCACCGGAGGGACTGGGTCTCCATGCGGCCGCGTCCACCGGCCCCACACACAGGCGGCCCTCTCAGTACTCGGCCAGCCGACCCGCGTCTGAGCAAACGTTACTGTAGAGAAACTGCCTTAGCAAATACTTCCTGCGTTACATTTCAGTAAACTAACGCTCTCTGTCACAGACACGTGCACACATTAAATATGTTTTCATGACTGTGTATATGGCTCAACACAAATTACTTAGCTGAAATAAACGGTGTATTTTATCACCTAATTTAGTATCTAAGCCTTTACTTTGATTACAACTCTGTTATATCTGCTTTCAGGCACAAATAGTCATGAGCAACAGGATATTCTCCTTCAGTACAAACACTAGGCCTATAATCACTGACCATCCTCAGGACACAGACCCATCCCTCTGTCAGACTCTGCAAGACAGACCGAGATGTTCGTGGGTCAACGGCATTCACAGTCATGTTGGGAAATTACAGCAATAAACACAAGAGCAATTGTTTCCAAGATTTGTGTTCTTCGTGGGAAAGAAGTCAGACTTTGGGGCCAGGTCACTCTGGGCAGGCGCCTCACCCCCGGGGCTCTAGAATGGAGACGCTGGCATCCTCCGTGTGGGGACGGGAGGCTGAATGACAAATGGTTCAAGCAGCCCAACAGGTGGCCGGCACCGGACACTCGGGGGAACGCCAGCCTCCTTCTCCCCCAATCCCAAGAAGCAGCAAAGGGCTCACTGAAGAGACAGCATCTGGACTGAGTCTTGAAAGACAAGTAGGACTTTCTTTTTTTTTTTTTTT